GTTCTGATTTAACGGCTCTGGTCTTAAGAGTTCTTGTTCTGACCAGTTGATACCAATTTTTTCCTAATCCTAATTATTTCTAAGCACCATAGTTAAAATATTACATTTTTCTAATTGTTTCTAATATTGTGGCATCAAAAGTGTTTATGGTCTAAGAAAGCATCGTTTAAAGCAACAATTACATAACGTGATTTTTTCAGAATTTGTTTTAATCCAGACCAGGGAGACCAGACCAGAGCTGTGCAAGAATCAGAAATCCGTCCCGGGCCTCCAAACCAGAACCAGCACGAGTCAAATTCCAGTTTAACTTGGAATATTGTGATTCTGGAAGTACAAACATCCAGATGTGTTAGTATGAATGACGAGTCCGCAAACCCAAAAGTTCACAATCACTGATTCATCACGCTGATTCACTAGCAGGTTTATAGATGCACCTTTTCTTTGTTCTGTACATCCAATCCAGCCAGCATGCCTAGGTGGGCTCCATATGGGAATATGTGGGCAAACCGTGTGGGTGCCAACAGGGTCTTTCCATGGTTTCCATGGTGGCCCCACAGGGATTTGCCCACATAGATTTTTAACAAGCCCATGTATGACTCAAACTATCTGGGTCGCTCTGAAGACCCATGTAGGGTCCGTTAAAATACATATGGGCTAACCCATGTGAGACTGTCATGGAAACCATGGACAAGCCCACAAACATCCATATGGAGTCCACCTATGCGTACTGGCTAGGTAAGTATTGTAAACAAACTAAACCTAACTAATTTCTACTCTTATCTAGTTCTTGTTCTTCATCTGAAATGAACAGTTTCGTTTCCTGTTTTTCAAGGCTTCCATGGTCCACTCTGATTGGTCGACCTTCTTATAAAATATATACCAGTGGTTTAAAATGGTATCAATCAAAATGAAGAATTCCTGCAGCTGCCTCTGCTTCCCAAAGCACCGCTGTTGCTTCAGTGGAATTTTATGCATCGGTTAGAACGGGCTTCCACAGCTTGGTGCAAATTGCTAATACAGTTGGCTGTGATCTGAAACCGGTTAGCCGGAGATATATGAGCACCACGGCTCACCACACTGTGAGTTATGGTGGGCTGGTCATAGGTCAATAAGCAGAGCTTCAAAGGGTTGTGTGTTTTACAGCAAAGGGCTCAAGGTCCAAACATCCATCACTGCAGCTGATTTGTCTTCATGTATGAAGCAGCGGCAGCTCGGCTGCACACGCACAAATAAAATTAAAACATTTTCACGTATAAACTCGACCACACATGCAGTGATTCGCACAGTTATGCCTTCACACACAGTTGGGCCCCATCTGGGCCAGCGCTCCATTGACCCACATTGTGATTTAACCCAGCTGTCAAACACCATTTAGTGTCTTTTTGATTCACTCTCAGGAGGTTCATCACTGCTACCATCTGCTGACGGAGACCAAAATCCCGCCCCCAAATATCGGATCACACTTTCTGCAATCTTAAGGACACACCCGAATATCGTAACAGCTCTGGAGATGATTTTATCAGAAATTCCTGCTTTGTGTGGTGTGTTAAGAGTGCTTTAGTCCGCTCAGAAACACATCAGGATCTCTACGATCAGAAATCTGTGTTATTAAAGGTGTGGGTCACTCATTTAACCATTACATTTGCAAGGGTCTCTGGTAGGAATGAATGCCTTATAAGTTTTACTCAGCTCAGATGCACCTGTTTCAGGAACTAGCAGAATGCTGCATAAGAGGAGAGCTTAACACGATGGGATTTGGAGTTTTATTTCCTGCTATTTGGATATCTCTCCTCTGATTGGCTAACAGCACTCTACCACTGACTCCGTTTGCTCTGCTACGTTAATGTTTTATCTCCAGAAATGACTCCAGCCTGGAGGAGTTCTGCTGTGGGGTGGAGTTGCTAATGCTAACAGTTAGCTTCTGCTAGCCGAGACGTTTTCTCTCCTGTTTCCTGGACACTGAAACAACAACAGCCTTTCCGGTTTAGAGCCAATATGGGTGAGTCAATGAATGTTAAAGGACAGTGTGACATAGATCTGTCAGGATTTTCAAATCCTAGAGTTTCATCATCTGTTTTCTATCAGAAGCTAACGCAGTAGACAGGAGTAGGAGACTATTTTCATGTTCAGCCTGCATGAAAAACTCGACTGATTATAATCAGAAATAATCAAAAAAAGATTTTTCAGTGTTCCACACTTTTTAACAAGTTGGATTTCGAGGACAAACAACGTGTTGCTTGTTAAATGGGACATGTAGCCAGTCAGAAAGCAAGGTGACAGAAGCACATTGTACGCTCCTCCTCCGCCATGCTTGTTCACTCCAAAGTCACATTTCATGTCTCGAGTTTTCCCATCTGAGTGGGAAATGTCTGTTTTTAATGTGTCACTGCACAGCGCACACTGTAGGACAACAACTGTTCATCATTTGTGAGCTCTCTCACGAAAGTTGTCCAACATTTTAAAAATCCTAACGTGTGAACTGAGCCTAAATGTGCCCTACACCAACGACTTAATAAGTTATTCAGATTTTATTTGAAGTCAATTCCTGCACAAACAACACCTGATTATGGGTCCTACACAGGCAGGTTTACTGCAAAGAAAATAAATGCATGAGTCTTGATGGCTTCAATTATTAATTAATTATTTTGAAATCCACAAAAGAACAGATATAAATCATTTCCAGTCATTTATCAGACCAGTTGTGGACGTTAATATGCTCTATTCAAACATCAGGGCATTTTATATGTGTGTTAAACTCAAGAATTGGTAGATATGTGAAGATGTCTGCTGCTTTAAACGCACAAATGTGAAAACTAATGCAGGGGTGGGGGCTGGAGGGCTAGCTAAGATCAGGGCCATGGCCTCAACAAAGGTTAAAAGTAAAGTCCACACAGAGTTTGAGGACATAAATCATAAAACGACCTGACATCTCTGGGCTTCTTTTACCCGATAGATAAAACATTGTAATTATTTCAAGTTCAGACACAAATGTGTTTTTTGCCATAGGAATAAATATAAAGGGTAAATCCTTGTCTTTTTTTAAATCATCTCCACTGATAAGGTTGATTGCTGCGAAGCATAAATCTGCATGTTAATCTTCTCAGCAGATCCTAATTGGATGTTTCTCCCATCAGTGATTGGTTGCTTCAGTCGTTTAATGATTATAGGGAATGTCTGCTAAATCAGCTGTAGAACTGACACCATTCTGTCTTAAAATCTGTCCCGTTTACATTTTACAGTGTCTTCAGCTCAATTTTGCATCGCAATCAGATGATTCACCACCAAACTAATGTTTTATTTGTTTATTTTTTGGGTGTAAAATGCCCCATACAAAAAGTCTGACATTACAGATTTCTTTAAGAAAATCTTGTTTCCTGTTTTTGCTTTTTTTGATTTACTTCAGTTTGCTGAATATATTTAAATTGGAGATAATTTTAAGATTTACAGCACATGACTCGCAAACTGAACGTACAAAAGAAGAAAAATAACAACAGCATCGGCTCTAATCTTGATTAAATCACGTGCACGAGAAGACCGACTACGGATTGGGACGTTTGCATCCACAGAAATGCTGTCATTGCACTGGGTAAAGGGTCACATAGAGCTGGAACGACTGGATTACGCCATATTTGCAGAACTGATTTCGTTAATCTGTTTGACTTTTGACCTCCACCTAGATTTAGCACCACAGCATCCCTATTGGCTCGAGTCCTGAGGAAAGGCTTTGCTATGATTCGTTGTGTTTAGGGTTGGGCATCGAACATCAAGAATTGATTGGGACCGGGACCAGTTTTCATAGTCTCTCAGAATCATTCAGTTTATTTTAATTCTGAGTCCTGGTTTTGATAACCTGTCCGCTGACCTAAAGAAGATGCTTTTTTTCTGGTTCTTCACTATTCACACACAAATAACAAAAAAAAAAAAAGGGGTCTAAGGTACATAGGGTGCGGAACTAGCATCTTTGGGGGACGCCATATTAAACTCCTTGGGATCCTGCGCCTGCCGCCACACTAAATGACTGGCTGGATGTACGACTTACAGAAGTTTCATTACCACTTTCAAAAACATTTAGGTAGTAAGAAACATGACTTTAATAACAAAACTACTAAACTCTTTCCAAAACATATGTGAAAGAATAGAATTGAAAAAGAGAACCAATATATTTTGGCTATGTGGTATTGCCGTAGTATGATGACGGCATCGGCAGGCGCAGGATCCAGAGCAGATCCAGAAAGTACAGCGTCAGAAAACTAGCCTGGCAAGTCAGACTAAATAAATGTATTATTTAGTCTGGCAACGCTCCATATCCATTGACGGCTCTTGGTCGAGGGGCGGGTTCTACCGTTGTCTTTCAAACGATCTCCGCATGCTACTGGACAATGAACAACGTGATGTACTCACCGCAACGGATGTCGTAAACAAGGCGGTCCTCTGTTGAGGAAGGCAAAAATACATCCTTTTTTCTAAAAAAAAAAAAGAACTTAACATTGCATTCTCTTGATGGAATTAACTGAAGGACCATCAAAGTCTGAGGAGTCACATCGAGGTCGCATGCTAACATAATTTACCGTAATGTTTTTTTAAACTACCAACAGTCACGACGATATGCTGTAAAACTACCCTGAAATGTATGTATGTACTGCCCCCTAGCGGCAGGAAACTACACACTGCCACTTTAAGGTTGCTGGCTCGTTTAAAACTTGTAACGTTTTTTGACTTTGCCTTTTGAAATTATCGGAATCGAATTCTAGGAAACAACATCAAAACCAGGATCTGGAATCCAAACCAGAATCGTTTGTTTGTGGTGCGTCTAAAGCAGCAGTAACAGTAATGGGACAGTTTAATATTTCTTTGATAATCCTTAAAACCTTTTGTTTCAAAATCCAGAGAATTTGTTGAGTGACACTAGAATAAAGTGTCCATTTTATGTCTAAGTTTTAATTGTGTGTGCAGAGTCCATTATTCGATGTCATACAAATCAGGTGATGCTTGATTTTTACCTGCAGAAGATTTCGTCTCCATCCAGCTGGTAACACTGCCCTCCATTCAGGCAGTAGTTGGGCTGCAGATCGCAGGCTGAGCGGCAACTTCCGTTCACCAGCTGGTATCCCACTCGGCATTTGTTGCGTGACAGACCTGTGTTTGCCACCCCAGGATTGTTGGGCATTGGAGCGCTCATGCCGGGGATGAAGGGACCAGATCCTGGAATCCGGGGCCTGGAACGAGCGGGAGACCCAACGGCCTCTCTGAGGTCTTCATCGCTCTCATAAGCATCAGTGGTGGTGCTGTAGGTGTACTCGTCTACGGTGGGGGACACTCCGTCCTCATAGGGCGTAAGGTAGTCGTAGTTTTCAGGCATCGCCCAGGAAGTTGCGTCTCCACCTTGGAGCTCATGGGCCACAGATGAAGGGGAGGGTGGGGCTAGATCGAGGTTACGCCCACGAGAGGAGGGGTCAAAGAAGTCCACATGGAGGACATCTGGGTTGGAGGGGTTGGTGGCAGCTGATGTCGGGGCAGAGGTGGTGGTGGTGGTAAGGCGGTCCAAGTCAAACATGGCTGTGCCCTTGGCATGAATCCAAGGGGGGTCAGTGTGTGGCAGATGCTCCTCCTCTTCATCCCCCTCCTCCTCTCCTTCCATGACCTCCTTTACTTGTGGGTTGCTAGGCAACAGATGCTCCGTCTCAGCTGAGTCAGGGCTGATCTGAGGCGGTGCTGTGACGCTCACCTCCTCCACCGTAGGAGCCAACGTTTCACCAAACATGCCGCTGCTCTGATCGTCCTCGTTGTCCCCACGCGGGGTCTGCATTGCCCTCGGGGTCACGGCGATGGTTGGGTCATGACTAACAGAGCTGCTTGTCCCAGTTGCCGTGGTGATAACTGCGTTTAGCTTTTCCGGCCCATCCTCCTCAACAAGCGGGGAGGTGATATTGACTTTGTTGTCCCACTCAGTAGCATTGATCCAGACGAGGTTTCCTTCAAACAAAGAAAAACAGTTTTTAATTCACAGGTAATAAAATTTTTGTAAATTTTCCACAAAACATAAATCAAAAACATTTTTTTATTTGTTTAACCATTTTGAGCAGAAAAAATTGGTTTCTGTGTTTTGAAATCCAAAGAAAATGACCAAAGATTTATTGTCCTCTCTATTTGAACAGAAAAGCAGCAAGTTTATTTTTGTCTCACATCTCCATTTTAATGAAATGTTTTAATTAACTGAGTCTGAGTCTTTTGTTGCTGAATCCATGGATCTCAGCTGCTCAACAGGTCACTTCCTGGTTTTCCGGGACCAATTTGGACTGCAGGCGGAGAACTCACAAACACACGACTGAAGAAACAAGCTGCTGCAATCCTTTAGAAAGATATTTGGCATTATCCAGCTCAAAGAACCACAAACCTCCTTCCTTTATTAGAACATCAGCACCATCTTGCATCCATCTTGACTTTGAACTCAGAACCCTCTCACTCCCAAAGCAAACAGAAACATCAGCTTCCCTGACCACTGAACAGGCTCCATGTTCCTCTCCAACAGACACAAAAATTGACCGCTGTATTTTCACCATCAGTCTTGTAAAAATTTGAGACAAAAAAAGGAGAGCTGCTGGTTGTTGGGATCACTAAAGCAAACAGTTCAGGGGGGAAAAGGCTTCTGACTAGACAAAGCTGATTTGTGCACTAAGCTAGAACCGTTACCATGAAATATTTTTTAAAGCAGCCTTAAATGAACCGGTCAGCAGTGACCAGGTAAAAAAAAAAAAACACCATCATGTTGGAAGTTCATTCAAATGAATCCCAGGAAAACAGGCAGGTGTTTCCTAGATAGGCATCAAAGTATTGGGTGGGTATTGGAATCTGCAAAAGGTTAGCATGGTTTGGGTGATCGTGATCAGCTGATCTGAAACTCTAAAGATGGATTTTTGGGGGGGTTATGAATGCATCTTTGCCAAGCAGGCAAACAGTTTGATGTTTTTCCAGTTTGTGAACTTCTCGCCACTAAGTCGTGGATGATCAGAATAACAGACCTTTTGTGTCAGTGTGCAATGCTGGTCATGGGGGCTCCTATCCAGCATGTTTTAATTGTTTCTCTGTGCCCACACACTGGATACAATGGTTGAATCACCTGTTCAAACTCTGCAGAAGCCTGCTAATCACCTGCTCTTTAAAATCAGGTGTGTTGAAGCACAGAAGCCTCTGGAACATGCAAGATGGCTGCCCTCAAGAACCAGGATTGGGCACAATCCACCCATTTACTAAACACTCTATGCTTGCAGGGTAGAGGGGGGAGGGGGTGCAGCAGACTTCAGGGCAAACAGTAGGGGTTCAACAACGCGCGCACACACACACACACATACACCTAAGGAAAAGTTAGCAGAATTCACCAGTCAACCTGACAGTCATATTTTTGGGCTGTCGGAGGAAGCCGGAGTACCCGGAGAACCCGCATGTGCCCATTGGACAAAACCATTAGAGTCACAATCTTCAGAACAGTTAAGTTTAAAAAATGAAATTTTGTGTTTTGAAAATAATCGGCACTGGCAAAATCTGGTACCAGCAGGTCAGAGAAGCACAAAAACAATCCATATCAGTGTTGGCCCTCGAAACCAGAATCCGTCTAATCCCGGCCCCCTGTAGTCTTGCCTGTCCTCCATGTTTTAGATGTTTCCTGGCTTCTTGATCTTGGTGAAAAAATGATAAAAACTTGTGTTTTGGAAAGTTTGTGAAACACAGATTTCAATTACAAACCACAAGGTGAATAACGTCTGTTTTAGTGGTTGGACCAAATTAAAGAGACGTGATTGACTGAATTCTACAGTTGATTACTTCACCTAAAGGCGGCACGACGAGTAATGTCAAAAAGCTGCTTTGGGGTGCTCCTTCTTTTGGATTAGAGGAATAATTCACTAATGTACTTGAATGAGGGGTAGTTGGGATTATGGATTACAGAGGGAAGGGATTTGGGGGTGCACTGCAGGGGGAAGGTGATGATCCTGATGAGACTCAGACAAAACAAAGTCTGAACAGATGTAAAAACAAATAAAAGCTGTAACCTACACAAGAGCAGATGACCATAAAGGAACTGATCATCTAAATAAATGTTAAGACATTTATTGTTAATTTCTTGTTTTCAAACAGTCTGACTTCCTTGTTTTTATTTAAAATATACTGCAGTTTTTGTGGGTGGTTTTTTTTTTTTTGGACTTTGGCTGCATTTTTCACTCATTTCCTGTCTTGTACCAGATGATGACAGCTAATGAAACAGTTTTTACTTTAAAAATAGAAGTGGAACTCAGCAGATGTGTCTGTTCCAATCTCTCCGTCCAACAGGTGAGCTGCACCTAAACATCTTTAAGAACAAAAATCCAGATCCATCTGATCATCAGGCTTCAGGATCGTTTTTTGTTGTTGTTGTTGTTTAACAAGGACGTTTTTGGTCCTTAAGTCGGAAAAGAGTGAAATGCCCTCTCCAGGTCAGGGATGAGGTCCTGCCCCAAGTGGAGGAGTTTAAATATCTTGGGTCTCGTTCACAAGTGACAGAAAGATGGATTGGGAGACCGACTGGTGGATTGGTGCTGCATCTGCAGTGATGCGGGTGTTGTACTGGTCTGCCGTGGTGAAATGAGAGCTGAGCTGGAAGGCAAAGCAGTTGATTTACTGGTCAATCTACATTCCTACCTTCATTTATGGTCACAAGATTTTGGTAGTGACCATATAAATGAGACTGCAGATATAAGTGGCCGAAATTAGTTTTCTCCGCAGGGTGGCTGGGCGCTCCCTTAGAGAAAGGGTGAGAAGCTCGGTCATCCGGGAGGGACTCGGAGTAGACCTACTGCTACTCCTCATCGAGAGGAGCCAGTTGGTGTGGCTCGGACATCTAATTAGGAAGCCTCCCAGGTGAGGTTTTCTGGCCACTTCCACCCAAGAGGAGACCTAAAGGAAGACCCAGGACACGGCTGGCCAGGGAACGCCTAGGATTCCCCTGGAATTGCTGGTCCAAGTGGCTGAGGAGAAGGAAGTCTGGGCCTCTTGGCTTAGGCTTCTGCCCCCCACCCCCCCACCCCCCCACCCCCCACCCCCACCCCACCCCCCGGCAACCTGACTCCAAATCAGCAAGAGAAAATGGATGGATGGATGTATGTTTTTTTTTTTTAAATTAAATTAAGCTGCAGGTAACACAAAGCCTAAAAACTCAATGCTGTTTTATTTTTTTCATTTTTTTTTGCCTTATTGTCTGTTGAATCTTTGGACACAAAAATGAGAATTAGTGTGAAAAGTGGCCATTTCTAAAGAAATGTTGCTTAAAATAAAGTCTGGCTTCGTGGAAAATATAAATCAATTTAACACTATTACACCTGCAAGCCCCTCAGAGCTACGCCTGGGTACAGGTTTTTACAAAACAAGTTATTTATGTTTTGAAAACTTCCTTTAGAGCTTACATGTTTAACCCTAACAGTCAATAAATGTAATATAACATGGAGCAGGGTGAATGCAGCTAATATTAAAAAGAAAATTAGTCACAATTCATATGATCCAGCTGGATCTTTTACATGTTTAGATACCAAACATCATAATTTATCAGTTACGTTTTTTAATAAACTTTAAAAGAAGTCAACGTAGGAGGAAAAGATAAAAATGCCTATTTATGATCGCATGACTGATCTGTCTTCAAGCGCAAAAACACATTTTCCTTTAATTCTAAGCTAACAAAAAGTCACATCATAGGTTGTGGGTTTGATTCCCATCACGGTCCCCTGTAGTGATTAATATGCACTCTTGGTTCACTAAGGAGCTTTGCTTGAGAGTCTCTTCCCGATGGCATCTGTGAGGATCTTCTTTTACTGTCGTTAAGCTCTGATCATGAGCCTCAGAGTTTAATATTTAAAATGTCTTGTTGGCCGATTATTTATAACATCAATAAAAGTCTCAAAATAATACAAAAATCAGATTCTAAAACAGAAAAAGCCTCAATATCATTTTGATTTAAAGAACAAGTCACCCCCAAATCAACTTTTTTTGCTGATATACTAAATAAAGAGTGTCTGATTGTGCTGTAGAAATGTGTAATCAAACATTTGGCACTTAAGCGCATTTTAGTTACAATTTAAATATTCTGCCTTAAACTGTAATAACTCTGCACTGCATTTGAATTTAAATCTGCCATTGCTATTGGCTAAGAGGTACACTATGACGTTAGCTGGTACATTATGATGTCACAATGTCCTTGTCAGCCTGTGTATGTGTGTGTGTGTGTGTGTGTGTGTGTGTGTGTATTTGTTAGCGACTCTCAGTCTGTCTGGCAACAACATTTGTTGCACTTGTCAAACATGAAGTGGGAGTGGAGTAAGACTCTTGTAGGGGGTGACTTGCTCTTTAACAATATTTTGGATGATTATTTACAGTCTCTCTCTAGGTAAATAAACAAAAGCTTTCATTAATAAAATCATGTCCGTTGTTTAAATATTCATAGTAATGAAAAAAAAACAAGGCCTTTGACTAAAAAGTTTGTATTTTTTCAAAATTTTCATTGTAGTTCCTTGAACCAAACGTTCAAATCTCTGAACGGATTGAAATTCAGTAAAATCTTTTCTATTTTATTGTTTGTTTCATAATTTATTGTAACTTTTTCTTTATTTTCTATTGCTGCTATTAGTGTTGGTCAAATGTTGGCGTGTTATTCACGGGGTCTGTCGAATGGGCCGGAGTACCTGATCAGGGGTACTCGGAATGGCCTGGTGGAGTAGATGATGATGGTTAACTGACACTGATAGGGTGTAACTCAGTCGGAAATTACATTAGCAGACATTGTCGAAAACAACCGGCAGTAGTAAAGTTAGAAGAGTCACCGACCAAGCTGCTTTAAAATCGTCATTAAAAAACTCCCAACACTGAAAAACATGGCGGAATTCCCCCACAATGACGTAACTCATGGGGCTTCTGTAGAGCAGTGTAAAAAACTGAACTTCGTCCACTCTTTGAAC